GAGAATCAGTTTACGGGTCCGCTCCCTTCTGAGCTTGGCCTTTTGACGGCCTTGACCGTGCTGAGGTTCAACAAAAATCGCTTGAGGGGGACAATTACTTCTGAGCTTGGGCTCCTGACCTCATTGAAACAGTTTTATCTTCATGGTAACCAGTTGACCGGTCCAGTTCCTTCTGAGTTTGGGGCATTTCCTGCTTTAACTGACCTGTTGTTGAATGACAACCAGTTCACTGGCCCAGTTCCCACGGAGTTCTGGCTCCTGACATCGTTGCAAGAGCTTTATCTCTATGACAATCAGTTCACCGGAACAGTCCCCACTGAAATTGGGGTGATGACATCTTTGACATCTCTGCGTCTTCACAACAATAACCTGACAGGAACACTGCCCAGCCAACTGAAAGAATCAATGGGATTGACGCTATATGGGAACCAGTTCTCAGGAACTGTCCCAGGGCATCTTTGTTCTTTGCTGCGATGTGATTGTTCCCTAAATGAAACTCCTCCTGTTTCCACCTGTTCTGACCTCATAGCAGCCCCACCTGATTGGCCTGGTCGGTTTCCAACCATTCCTGGATCTGTAATCCTGAACATCCATACTGATAAAGATCCACAGGAAACATCTTGGGCTTGGCAACAGCAAGAAACATACAACGGGACTGGTGCTTGGGACACGGTAGAGTCAGGTGGTCCACTGGAGTTTTCATATTATCTTTACTCCTCTCTCTTCCCGGTCAGCCCCAACAACAGATATAGGCTGATTGTGTCTGACATTTATGGTGACGGTTTCTACGTCCCTGGTTGGATTACTCTGACGGCAGCAAACAAAACGGTGTTGTATTCCTATGTCAGTACGGATGATCTCTTGTTTACCATTGAGAGTGACTTCTCTGAAATCGTCATTGACATCGTTGTTGGAGCTGATGGTTCTCTTGGTGTCACCAATTCTACTGCATGATGGTTCCATATAAATGAGTTTTATCTTTTTATGAATTCCATGTTGAATATCTGTACTATCATACACGTACCAAACAACGATTGCCCTGCGGAAACGACCCATGATCGATCGATGCCATTATGCCATGTGCCTACACCACCGTGAAGGGGGCACGGCGAGCGCTGACGTTCAACCAAAATCGGTTGATGGGGACAATTTCTTCTGAGCTTGGGCTCCTAACCTCATTGGGGGGGGGGCTTCGGATTTATCACAATCAGTTCACCGGAAGAATCCCCACTGAAATTGGTGTGATGACATCTTTGACATCTCTGGGTCTTCACAACAATAACCTGACAGGAACACTGCCCAGCCAACTGAATGCATTTATGGGGTTGAGACTGTATGATAATAAATTTTCAGGAAGTGTGCCAGAGCATCTTTGTTCTAAGGTGTGATTGTTCCCTAAATGAAACTCCTCCCGTTTCCACATGTGCTGACCTCACAGAAGTTCCACCGGAGTGGCCTAGGCAATTTCCAACCAGAAGTGCTAATGTCATACTCAATATCCTTACTGATGACTTTCCACAAGACACATCATGGGTTTGGCAGAAGGAAACTAATGTAACTGGTGTTTGGGGCGCATTGGAATCAGGTGGTCCACTCGGCAGTAAAGATTTTCTTTACTCTTCTCTCTTCCCAGTGAACACTGACACAGCCTACAAACTGGTTGTGTCTGACGGTTTTGGTGGTGGTGTCAACATCCCTGGATGGATCACTCTGACAGCCACCAACCAAACAGTGTTGTATTCTTTGGTAGCTGGGGAGGCCTTTTCTGAAATCACCATTGGCGTTTTGGTTGGAGAAGATGGATCCGTTGATATCACCAATTCTACAACTCAGTGATTCTATGCTACAATTTTCTCTGGGTAAACATATATATGCACTGTAGAGCATTGCGACATTCTCGTTTGGAGTGGACATGCTTCTGCCCTCATATTGTGCGGATGCAACACTGTGGCGTCATGGTTGATTCATTCTTTTGCTTCGTATTAATAGCTAGATTTGGAAATAGCTGCAGTGCGCGTTGTAGTGCTAGCTACGGTATGGTGGTTTGTCGATGGAAATGAATGCGCTATCCTTATTCTTATGCACGCACCAAGCAAACGAATGATAAATTAAGTCAGCCGGAGCTGCGATACCTCGGCAGAAAGACAGATAGAAGAAGGAGGATCATGTTCGAGATTGCACCCATCTTTCAAGCCAGCCCTGGCGACAACACCCGACTACGTCGTGTGTTGCCGCCCGGTATCATTCATTCCCTCATTGCAACCTTCTTTATTAAGCTAGCCCTGGCGACAACACCCGACTACGTCGTGTGTTGCCGCCCGCTACTCTATAATTTACCAGCTGCCATTCCCTTATTGTAACTCCAACCTTTACAGCTCCTGCTGGCTTATTGTGCTGTTGTGCTGATTGCACTAACCTTAAATATTAATGATTTATTCCTACCCCTAACTTGTATTGAACCATCAATGTTCAGTTTTGTTGGCTTATGACTATCTCTATCCTTATACTTTGGCTTCACCGGAATAGGAAATAGCATTAAAGGGGTTGAGAACTCAGGCAGTTTACCTGCCGAGGTAAAGTTGATCATGTTACGTTTTGTTTCTTCCAATCGTGTCTGCTTTATTCTCCTGTGGTTGTGTATTGCGGCCTAAAAAAAAACTAAACGTCTAATACTACAGAGGGGTGCTTTGAGGACACGACTCTTTTAAGGTGCCAAATCCTGGTGGTCTGCCTCGATTGCGGTAGATCTAGCTTAGGTCCAGCTCTACTACCGGTAGTGAGCCGCGTTCCAAGTTGGTCTGGGCGTTGGTCCAGGAGTGGGGCCAGGGGTGACACAGACGAGTTGGGGGACTACTTGATTTTCTCCTGGACCCTTGTACCGTAGCTACCGTCGCAATTGGCTAGTACATTACAAGGCCTGCGTACTAATACATGCATTAACAAATATGAACTAAGGTGTCAAAGTGTAAAGGCAATTGCCTGCTTGTTTTGGGCTGCTGAGACAAGATGCACAAGGGAGGAGAGCAACAGGTTTGTGCTGTTTCGCACCACCACAAGTTCTATGCTGAGAGTTCCCGAGAGTAGACACCACTCGTCTTCGTGGACTGTGCTTCTTCTTCCTCCGCGGCCAGTCTCTTGGCAGCAAAGTAGCGACGGATGCCATTGATACCAAAGTATTCGAACGCGGAAACGGCCACTGTGTTCGCCGCAATAATGACATATATCTTCCATTGAAAGTCATCCGGCATCATTGTTGTATTGAAGCTGTTTTGGATGGGGATGACAGCAAAGCCGCCAGTCACCCCACCAACGACGTTTTCATTCACGCAGTTGACGCGCCAGAAGCAGGAGAGCTTGGACGGCACAAATATAATGTACGTGTGAATGAAACAACACGCAATGACAAGGAGGACAAAGACATAGTTTCGGAACCAACCAGCCCTGAATTCATAGCCAAAGTTCAGTGCAATCGCAGAAGAGATGTACTGTGCCCCAGTAACCAAAAAGATCACTTGAGTCTCGTAGTTGTCTCCAATCACAAGGGCGTTCAGCAAGTCGGTTGGCACCCACTGACGGCACTGGAACCAGTCTTGCTGAAAGAGCACAGCAAGGGCAATGACAGTAAAGATGAAGTGGAAAGTAATCATGAAAAACACGGACATGACGGTTTGCAGACCCAAAATGGAAGCTGTGGGGCGTGTCTTTGCAAGGCTCTTAGCTGCTCGCGCAAGGGGAAGAGTGTAAGCCAACGTAATGGGCCAGACTCCATCAATCCACACCCAATTCCATTCGGCAAAGGCTGGCGGAAAGAAGAACGGTGAGCTCCATCATCTTACTACCAACAGCACGCGGCCAATGTTAATACAAAGCAAGTACTCACTGATCTGGAAATAAGCATTCATAATCTGGTTCATCGTTGTGATTTGACCATACATGATGATGAATTTGTACACCGCAAAGGCAGAAGCCAGAGCGCAACGACCCTCCTTCAAAACCTCCACAACAGACGTGATGGAACGATCCATAGAAGTGAAGGGCGAGCAAATGCTTGCTTCGGCGTCGCTGAGGGCTACTCCTACGTGTGCAGCCTTGAGGGCACCGCAGTCGTTGCCACCATCACCAACCATGCAAGTGATGAAACCCAACTCCACAAATGTATCCACCACAGAAACTTTGTCGTGGGGGGTGCAGCGTCCAAACACACGAACGAACGGGGCCATGTACTTTGCAAGCTTGGGATCCGTCCTGAGGAGAGCCAACCATGCGGAGCCCGAGAGAGCAATTTCAATGTCATTGGTTTCCAGGCGCTCTCTAGAAGGCATCGTTGAAGCCATTCCAGTCTCATCTGTCCACACAATCTCGCCGTCAGCGCCTTCTGTATTGATTGTACCAAGGACAACCTTTTTGGCCCGCGACATTATGCCTGCTTCGCGCGCTACCCTGATACCCACGAGAGTGTTGTCGCCTGTCACAACAGTAGATTCCACGCTACCATCGCTCAGCTGACGAATGACATCAGGAGTTTCCTCTCGGATGGTATTCAAAAAGTTGATGACGCCAAGGTAGGTACAATCTTTCTCTACATCATCGCGAACGATCGAGGCCACCGTGGCTGCATCAATGGGTTTGGTAGCCACCGAAATCTGGTAGACTCCTTCGGAAGCGCTTTGACGCAAGCTGGAGTGGAAGTCGGAGGGAAGGCTTGTTGCCTGACAAATCTTGGAAACACTTTCCCCACTTCCCTTGACAAAGGCCACAAACGTGCCATCTGGGAGCTTGACAATGACGCTTTGGGTCATTCGATGATGGTCAAAATCAAAATGTCGAACGATTTCCAGTTCGCCTCCGGTTTTGTCCATAATGACGGGTGAGGATCCCTCTCCTTCACGAAACGATGCACCACTGGACAAAAACATGGTCTTGTCGACGGGATTTCCAATCAGTTGCCCCCCCTTGGTTCGTGCCACGGAATGACAGCAAGACATGGCCGTGGTCAAGGTGTCGGTTTGCCAGTTGTCGGCAGGTTTTGCCGATTGAAAGTCCAGTCCCTGCTTGGTAATCGTGCCTGTTTTATCAAAGAAACACAGAGATACCTTCCCGGCGATCAAAATGCTCTCGGAATTGGCACAAGCAATTCTTTTCTTTGCCAGTCGCAGATCAGAGACTCCGACGGACACGGTGAATGTGGTGGGGAGCAAGGGAGGGATGGCGGATGCAACCACGTAACTGTGTACAAGCAAGGAGGAGGAGGAGATTAGAGAAGGAGTCATGCCGAGATGGAGGAAAGGTGGGAGAAACGGTTGTTGCACACTCACATTCCATAAAAGAAACCAACCACCGCTCCCTCATCGCCCACGAGAGCAATCACAATACAGAATCCCACAATCGCATACAGAATGAGAATTCCCATGACAATGTAGACTTCCTGATCAAACTTGAATCCATGACGACGAAAGGAGAAAATCTCGCGCAGCAGTTCTCCCTTGGCCGTGTAGGACGCCGTCTTCATGACAATGGCCTTTGCTTCTTCTGCTTCCAGCACAGTGGTTCCAGCGGAAATGGTGTGTCGTTTGTGCGTTCCCGGAGCATATGCAGTCTTTGGTTCCGAGGTATCCAACGGTGTCTTGACCATGGGCGTGGCCTCACCCGTCAGGGCACTCTCATCCAACAAGGTATCATTTCCCGACAGCAACACCATGTCACAGTAGGTCACACCGGGTGTCACCTTGACGATATCCCCGGGCACAAGACTGGTTTGATCGACTTGCGTCCATGCTCCATTGCGCAGCACCGTGGCCTTGCCTTCGACGTGGGTAATTTTGTAGAGATTGCAGAGATTGCGGTAGTGAAATATGGAAACGGTAATGGCACTGATAGTAATGGTGAATGCAATCACCATGGCCATGTAAAAGTAATAGAGTGGGAACCATGTCCATACCATGTAGAGCTGGTACGTGTAGAATGGTTTGTTGAATTCTTCGCCCAAGACTTTCCAAAACGATGGTTGTTCCATTTCAATAATATTTCGTCCAATCACTTGGTATCGTTCCGCGACTTGATCCTCCGACAAGCCTGATTCGGTGTCTCCCTTGCGGGCAATGTCCCCCAGGGTCTCTCCGACTGTCCAAGAACCGGGCAAAAAGATCATTTCGTTTTGACTGGTTTGGGTGTTGGCATTTTCAGCATCTTCTGTTTCTTCTTCCTCCTCTTCCGTCTTGTCCATGGTTGTTGCATCCTTGCGATCCACCAAATTGTAGCGTCGTAACAAAAAGACAAAGGAGCGGGTTCCCGTGGTGGGATCCTTTTGCACTTTGCAATATTGATAAATGCCCTGGTTGCGCAAGGGAGCATCGACGTCGGAAAAGACAAATGCCATGGCCGAATTGATACCGGCAAACAATGTTTCAAATCCCTTCTTGATTTTGCTCCAGGTACTGGTGAGTTGTGCCGTTTCTTTCATTTCTTGTTTTTGTTTCAAAAAGACGGCCACATGAGTGGCATCTCGGAGGTTGCAACGACGCAAAAAGAGAGAACTAATACTGTAGGGCCATTTGAGGGCAAAACACCAGGCGAATCCGACCCCCCAAACGATAATGAATGTTTTCAAGAGTTGTTCTTCATCTTCAAAATGCAATTTCAATCCGTCCACTTGCCACTGTTCGTTCCACTTGTAATATTGGAGTGTCAAGAAGATCATACAGGCGGACCATCCCCAAAAAGTGAGACAGACCAGCACAAAGAGCAGCAATCCAATGGGATGAATCTTGTATCCAGTTTGTGTACAGGTTGTGTCCGTATTGGTATTGGTGACTTTGGCATCCACTTGGAGTGTTTGCGTGGATCCTTGTACTGGAAGTAGTCGTTGATTGACGGCGCACCAGAGGAGCATAAATAGCGTCACGGCCGACGCCCAGACATATCCTACTATATAGGCGGGTTCCGTGAATGTCAGCAATTCCGTCTCGTAGAGCGATTCCAATTCGCCACAGTTGGTTTCATTGTCGTACAAGTGTCCGTACTTCTCTTGGCATTGATCAAATGTATCGTCAATGCGATGACACGCCACAGGTGCACAGTCAAAGGCACAGGGCGTTTCCAGTTCTTCGTCATCATCACAGACAGAAGCACAACTGCCATCGGCACAGAGCGTCTCGTTGAAATTGGGACATGCCATTTCGGATGGACAATCGTCGACCGTAGCCACACAGACTTGAGCACACGTCGTCAAAGCGGGACAATTAAACGTCGGATCCACCGTATCTCCAAAGTCTGCTTGGGTGAACGACGCCAGAAGCAGCAGCCAAACCGCCGCCGCCATGGCGATGGGAAGTTTCATCATCGTCCAAGGAATGATGATGATGATGATTTTTGTTGTTGTAAAAGGCAGACCTAGCTAGGATTTTGTTTCTTTCTTTTTTATGGGATAGTGAGGGAAGAAAGAAAGGAGCTACCTACTCTGCCACACGTACATGAAGATCAGCAGGGTAACTTATAGACTTCTCTATCCTGAAGAAGAACCTTGCCTGCATAGATACCGCACTGCAAAAAGATCCTGGCTTCCGCATGCCTAAAATGAAGAAGAAATGAGCCCGGGACAAAGCAATGCCGCACACTGCACAGCGGACCCTGTGAGCTGTCGCTCAACCTGTACGGTAGCATGTTCAGCCACACAAAAGAACACTGGATTAACTCTTCTTGACGTGGTTCTTGCTTACTAGGGCGTGACACTTAACTGCTTTGTACATTCTTTCGCAATTCTTTAAGAATCCTTTAACTCTTGTGCTTCTCGAAAAGAACACTCGTACACCAGGTTCGTGAATGGTACCGATCGTACAGTACCTACAGACAGGTACGGTACCATACTGTACATGTGGGGTTGCTTGAGAAGTCAATGTGAGCTCCCCACCGGTACGGAGCTAGTAGCTACCGTACCGGTAGCAAGTAAGTATTCATACTCTTCTGGGCAACAAAACTGTTGGTGAATGCTACGCTAAAGCAGCTTATAAATAACAGGTTGAGCAGCTTTGAAGCTACCGTAGCTACAATAGCTAGCTAGAGCCAGCTTTGCTCTCACCTGGCCGGGACGTTGGGGTCCCTTTTGCGACATAAATAAATGCACAAGCTGCTCCCTCCATGGCGGTTGCCTCACCTTCAAAGCTTCAATGCAGCCAGCACACGCAACAATGTCACAGTGCCGCAGTACATGTACTGGTCAGCTCGTCCCGGTGACACCACCACGGGGATCATTATTTCTCTCTACCGGCAGCTACTGTACATCATGTAGTCTACCATACCTGGGCAACAAGCAAGCAAGCAAGCAAGCAAGCAAGCAAGCAACACGGACTGACATGCACGGGGAGTTTGAAGCTGTTCCTCAGAGGAGCGGGATGTTGAGCTCCCCTCCTTGCTGCCTTGCTTCGCCTTCAATAACTGCATGGGATCATCGTTGGTGGGGCAAGGCTCGTGGCTCTACTTGTATCCGACGGCCCAAAAAGGACCACTGCAGCTTTGATACTAAAAGAAATCCTCCGTGCCACTCTAGAGCTAGCTAGCTCGAGTAGAGGGGTTGGCGGCAGGGAAGCTACAGTAAAGGTAGTAGACACTTGGGAGTTTCCAAAAAGCATGTAGTACATGGACATGTACGTACAGTACTAGCTAGCTAGCTAGTAAAGGTGAGTAAAAAGATCCAGGGTCTGGCATCGGACCGAACCTTCCCTTGATGAATACCTCCAGCCTTATACAAGGAAAGAGAGATGGGGTAAATATTGGTGGAAGCGTTTTTCCACAGGATGTTGGGCAACAACAAGATGACCATCAACACCGCAACATGAGGAACATGAAGAGCAGCAACACCAACAACACCAACAAGAAGAAGAATACCCTGGTAGTGGCACTTTCGGCTCTTGGAGGAGTGCTGGCTGGCGATGAGGGGGTAGCCATTGACGATGAGTATTGCTACAAGCCTTCGTCCGACAACGATCACCCCATTCGATGCGTCAACGATCAGTCCAATCAAGTGACTCATGTGCCGTGTGTTTCCTACACGGATCATCCGGCACAACCCGATTGGGGATGCACGGATCGTGAACCTCTCTGTATCACTAGTACTGGTGTAGATGATTCTGTGGGACTACCGCCACACATCGGCACCCACTGTGCTCCGTATCCCTGTTGAAAGAAGGTGGAGCTCCGAATCGACGAAGGATGTACCCAAGAACAACCTCGTTGTGTCGATGCGTTGGGACAGGATGCTTTGCCCGGTGCGTTTGGAATACAGTGTATCGAAGCACCCGCAGTCGAGCAAGACATTGTTTCCGCCACCAGTAGTAAAAAGATGGGTCTCTGGGGACTCATGGCACCCAACAAAAATACTAATAATGCGCAAGCCTTTGGAATGGCCCAGTACAACCCAAATAATGCCACTGAAGATGAATTCGAAATTACATCCCTTTGCAACGGATGTCCCTTGTCGAACCAAGGAAGGGATTGTGAATCCAACAAGACATGTGATACCCTGGGAGGCGTCCACATGACCAGTTCTACGACCCAACCAACTGCTGCCACTACTACTACTACTGGCGTGTATGCGTGGTAGAGTGCTGCATTCTTGATTTGAGTGGCTTCCAAAAGCATGTCGTGTCATCCATTTAGAAAAGTTCCAATGCGTATTCATTCATTCCTATACCTGCTACTGTACGTATATTCCAAAGTAACCTTTACTTGCCTTTACTACACTTATTTATTGCTTTCGTTTTTGTACATTTGTGCTATTTTCATTGTGGAGCTTCATTCATTTGATGCAGTACCGTATCTGGCACGTCTTGCTAAAGCACAGCCGCAGGTTACTCTTCGGCATTTACACACCGAGTCAAAGTAACCGTCCTTGCTTCGGCTGTCTCTTGGAATCGATCGCGTTGGCTTTGACTAAAGCATCTACCGGTACGCTGTACCGGAACCATGGCAGGGGACAAACCACATTTTGCCTGCCTGACGGACATTGGAATATCCAAGTGGAGCGGGCTTGGTTTGAGGAAGACTCACTCAGCAATGTGTGGTGGAGAGACGACGCGGGAACTGGTAAACCCTTCCAACTTAATCTCAGTCTCTACAGAATCGAATCGAAACTGCTTCTATTGTCGGACCATCATCAATGCCACCATCATCCGTAGCATTGCTATCTGGCAGAGCCATTATTAGACAACAGCAGTGGCTTCGGGAGCAAAGAGGCCGCCTGGTGAAGTGCCTGCGTTGTGCAATGCATGGAGCCAGCTACTTCATCTTCTTAGCCTTCTCGCGCTGGGAAACGGCCTTCTCAACTGTGATACCGCGCTCCCAATGACCTGGAGAGTCAACGTCCACAAGGGAGAAATCAAAGATACAATCCATACCCCAATTCATGTTTTCATGCTGGCCAGGCTACAATGATGAGAACAAGCCAGCAGATGTTTGCTTGTACCGGTATCGATACGATACCGTAACAACCCCACTCGGCTCTGCTTACGCCTTCCTGCTTCAGCAACACTCTTGAAGCCAATCTATCGATATACTATCATCATCTATGGTTTACTCGGAATAAGATTTGAAGGACATGTTGAGCGGCCGTGCACGAATGCATGGGAGAGCGGGTTGTGGGAACATTATGATGATTGATCGATTCATTCGCCCGCGAAAAGGTCACCAAAGTAGCTACTAGACTTTTAAAATAAAAAGCAGAGGGATGATGTGACTGCGTTGTGCATGGATGTGTTTTCGTGCAACGCAACCAGCGTCCGTTCCCTGGATACACCAACACCACAGATCCCATTCTAAAAACACTGCAAAAACGGCATCACAAGGACTTTCTTAAAAGGGTTTCATAGCGGCACGTCGTGTATACCCACAGTGCATGCCAACAGCCAACACACATCCATTCGATCGTAGGGGGTGATTTTGCTAGGTAGTGGTCGTGTGGTCGTGTGCTTTGGCTCGAAAGAACTGCAGGGTGCCCGAGTGAGGTCCGGTAAGGTGTGGTAGGTACTTCTGTACCGGTTGCATGGCACGAAGGGACTCGACTTGACTTGACTGTGACTTGACTGTGACTTGACTGTGACTTGACTGTGACTTGACTCTCCTTGCGTGGAGGAGAGGCTGAGCTCAACTCAACTCCCAGATTTTTGAAAATCGTTTCCAGCTTGAAAAGACCCTGAAACAGAGAATTGACTTAAATCCTGTTTTGCCACAGTGTCACACTGAAAATTTGGGAGCTCTACAAGAGTAAAACTAATAGTACTGATAGAACCGGTACTCGAGTATTTACGTGTGTACCACTTCAAAGTACTACAGCTATACTGTCAGGCTATTTATTAAACTAATGTCTCCTGGATTGGTATACTGTACTCTACTGCAGCCTTCGTGAACACAGTAGATTTACCAGTAGAACGGTACGGTACCATAAGCCTGTATGGACAGTATTGTAGTTGGGGTATAAGATCAATTGATCAAAGAAAGGTCACTATTGTCAGGTCTATTATCATTCTAATCTACCCAAATAGGTACAAATAGGTACCCGTTCTATGATACCTGGAACCCAACTTTGGATCCAGAATCTTTTTCCTTCCTGGGTCATTCGCTCGAAATGACTGTGAATGGAAAGTACTTCCTGCTTGATGACTGGTCTTCGCTCTGCAGTGTTTGCCTTGGTCAACCCCACCAGTCTATTTTTGTTTTCGGCCAAGCCAAGCCACAAAGGGTGGTAGCATCAATTGGATTCATTCTCTACCATTCTATCATTCTCTGCCTCTGCCTATCCTATTGTTGTTATAGTTACCAAGACTTAGTTGTGAAGGACCTCCCATGAAGATACTGCAAAAGACGCAGCCCTTGTGGCTGCTGTTGGTCATTAGTGCGTATTTCCCTGACGCCGCATACGGTCAATACGAAGCCCTGGCATCGTTGATCGGATCGACGCAAGAAGAGATTTTGGAATTGGGTGGATTGCCCGATAAGGATTGTTTCTTCACGTTCAATGCGACGGCGGATAACTGCAATGCTCTCATTGAAGCGAATGCGGATTCGGAAGAAGAAGAAGGTTGCGACTGCCGCATCTTTTGCCAAGGCAAAACGGTAGCCTGCTACGATTTTGGCGCCACGCCCGATTTGTTTTCGTGTCCGTCCGTCTATGGAGTGGTGGCGGGGTGCCAGGAAAATCAAACCTTCTCCGAGCCGCTCTTATCGACCGACAACTCCACCGATGAACCGTGTCCCGAAGGATACATGTGTACGCGAGGACGACAGAAAAAGTGCGATGATATACGGCAAATTCCACTCCAATTGGGATTGGGAGATGTCCATGCGGGAATGTGGTGTCCGTGAGTATTTTATTATTATTATACTGTATTGACTTTTTTATTGGAAAGAGGTTATCTCATCCTTCTTTTGTTTCTATGACATCAAATCAGTGGAAGAGGTGATCGACGTGATAATGGATATCAAATCTGTGAAGCTGGACATTACTGTCCCAATTCGGTAAGCAAGCAAGCAAGCAAAACAGTTACTGCTACTAGTTGTTTACTGAAGGAAGAAGGGGTAGCAAGAATATCGTATGGTTATCATTAGACTATATTCGCTCACCGTTTCTGTTTCACTAACTATTCTACTTAGACGACCATGATACGCTGTCCTGCCGGATACTTTTGTCCTCACAAGGTAAGAATGCATGTGTTGAATCAAAAATTAAGTGATATCTAGCTATGGCTAGCATTGCTAGCTGGGGGGGCTATGCTGTCAGAGTCAGTACCGGTCGAGTCGAGTCAAGTAGGGGCCTCCAATCCACACACGACCTACCGCCCAACACTACCTAATCTAACAGAACTACCAAGCACAAGAATTTCTACCACGCGAAATGAGATCTACGAATGAATCGCATACAATCAGCCGGGGACACCATCCATCCATACATACATACATCGAATCGAATCGAATAGCACGTTCGTCCAGATCGTCCAGATCTCCTCGACATATTATTATGGAACAAGGATCAACCGACAAGCAAGCAAGCAAGCAACGACAGCAAGCAAAATGAACGATCGATCGATATATTGGACCGTCAAATTTGATGCTACCCGTTTTTGGAAAGAAAGAACTGGATCAAGCACCACCAATAATAGCTATCGAGGTCATGCATCCAAGTTCGAGCGAACGAACCAGCGAACGAACGATAGCCCAATGGCAACATCAACGAGAGCGGTTTCGCCCGCAACGGGTAGCCAAGTGCGCGGGTGGATTGCAAATCTCTACTAAACGGAGAATAGACTCTCCGAGTGTTCGAAATATTATTTCATAGGGGGCGCGAACGAACGAATACTGTACGACTCGACTCCCACGCAGCCAAGAAAGAAGCAGAGAGGGACGCCATCTGGGGAAATCGATTCGAATCGATTCAGTCGGAAGTCAATCATCCAGAAGAAAGAAATGTTCTGCCAAGCAAGCTCTTCCGTGACGAACCAACGCAATCGGCCAGCCATCCGACTTTGACAGCCCGCCACCCCAGCACGCTGTTACCGTGTTGGAGAAACCTCTCACTGATTTCGTTTCTACTCTTGTTACTCTACTCTTGCACGCACAGACGGCTTACCCTGACATTGAATGCCCTCATTGCGGTGAAGCGGCTGCAACCTTGGGACGAAAGCCCTATGGGTACATCGTCGGCGGCGTTGTTGCAGGTCTCATCTTACTGCTTGTCATCTATGAAATGTTCAGGCGATACAATACCGGTCTCTGGGATCATTTGCTGGAATTGCAAGCTCGGAATTTCGACAAGGTCAAAGCCACCGTGCAAGCCAAGAGTCGTCAAGAAAAATTGAAGAAATTGGAACCCAAACTCAGAGTCATTGAAAAACGGTTGCAGCAAGATTCGGGAAGTTATCGGGCCGATCCCACGCAATCCATTCGTGCCGTGAGCGTTGACAACAAGTCCGGTAGAATCAAATTCAATGCTCGTAAACTATTCGACATGATGGACGTCTCCGGGGATGGAGAACTCACGTACGAAGAACTGGAACACGCCCTCAACTTGAACCAAGTGCAAATGCGAGAGTTCATTCGTCGTATGAACCAAGAAGCCAGAAAACCACCCGAAACGGAAACCATTTCACGAGAAATCTTCATCAAGCATTTTCTGAGTGTTCTGGAACAGACGAGCCATTTCGAACCGACCGCCACCGAAGCTACCGAACTGTTTGACGAGATTTTGTTAGCCAAGGGAACTCTCGATGTGGAGGGAATTGCACATGAAGACCTGTTTGATTCTCCAATTAGTTCCTTCTTGGACGACGCCAAAATTAATCAAATTATCAAACGATTCCGCGAGCTCCAAGAGAAGCAGATGGGTTCGCGCATGTCGCTGGGAGAGGGCGATAGTGATCTCATGCCCGATGAATCATTCAAGTCAGATGTCCCTCGAGACAGCGATGTTTCCAATCCCTCTGTTTCCCGTCGTCGACGCAGCACTGTTTCCAAACAAGTCAGGCGAGCGTCCATTGGTGGAGGACGACGATCATCCTTCTCGGGTGACAACGCCATCAACGCGATCAACCGCTTCAAGTTTAGGCGTCCTTCTATTCTGACATTTATGCAAAAACATGACGTGATTACCCGCGAAGAATTCATCGCCTGGTACCCTGCACTCTTGACGGAAGTAACCCGTGACGTTCAAAGGCGTGATTCCTCCGTAGTGTCCAGGAGCGAACTGGGTGTGGATATTACCTTTCAAAATCTTTCATTGACAGTGACGGTTAAGGGAAATGAAGTCAAAATTGTCGACAATGTCACTGGGAGGCTCAAGGCTGCGAGCATGACAGGTAAGTTCGCAAGGGAGAAGCAATATTTGACCATCTTGGGAGGCTGCGCAGCTCATCATTTTTTGTATAATCCCATTATCACGCCTCTTGTACATTTGGGCCAAATCAGCTCTAAGTAAGTATCCAAACTCATGGACCGATTCGGCGTTCTTTGTTCATCTCATGTTGTGCTGCTTTCGTCAATGTTGCTGTTAAAGTGGGAGGGTCAGGTGCCGGCAAGACTAGTTTGCTTAACGCCCTCTGTGGACGAGCTTTTTATGGTGAAGTGACTGGTACGGTTAGGATCAATGGACACGAAACCACTATCGAAGAGCATGCAAGCGCCGTTGGATTTGTCCCGCAGGTGAGCGCAGACTGTTTCTCTGCCTGATTAAATTTATTTTCGCATGGTCGCTGATAAATTTTTGCTCTGGCAGGATGATATTGTGTATGCTGAGTTGACGGTGAGAGAAAACTTTATCTTCAGTGGTCGATTTCAGCTTCCCAAGGATACTTCTACTAAGGACATCGAAGACCTTGCGGATGCAACCATGGCCAACCTTGGTCTGTCTCGTGTCATGCACAGCATTGTTGGTGATGTGACGAGAAGAGGAGTTTCTGGAGGTGAAAAGAAGCGCGTGAACATTGGCTTGGAACTCATGGCACGCCCAAAAATCGTGTTCTTGGACGAACCGACTTCGTAAGTTTTTTTAATGTCTGAATCATTGCCATATCTTCCAGGCTTTTCTTTCTTTCTTACCTGCAACATCTGCGATTTTTTAGCGGGCTTGATGCCAACTCTGCTTTGCTTGTCATGGAATCGCTCAAAACTCTGACTCAAATCTATGGAACCACAATCTGCAGTGTGATCCACCAGCCGCGAAAGTTCATCTATGAATTATTCGACAGTCTGATTCTTTTGGGTGTGGGTGGCAAGATGGTGTTCCATGGCCCTACCGAGGATGCGGAGCCGTACTTTAGAAAGCTGCACTATGACCTTCCCCCGGGCGAGAGCATTGCCGACTGGCTCATTGATATCTCGTCAGGTCGATTGGGACCATCGATGCAATTGAAAGAAAAGGCCAAGAAAGAAGAGAGAGACAGTAGGAGGTACCGACCTTCCACGGATGCCATCATCGAAGAAGAGTCGGAAGCAGATTCAACGACATTCAATGCCAGTGAAGTTGACGTGGACGATTTCGACAGCAACGGGGAGTTTTTGCTTCCCGAAGAAGGTCCGTCTTCATCGGCCACAAATCCCGTGCCGTTTGAGTTCAAACAGTCCGGCCTTTCAATGGATTCGACAGCCTTTTCCACATATTCGACAATGCCAGCGCAAGAGGGTAGCCAAGCACTAATCCTGTCCATGCGTAGTGCTCTCGACATGGACAAATCGAGAACGCTGAACAAGACCGAGGATATCTTTGAAGATCCGGCTGCACAGGCAAAGGCCCGGCGGGAGGTGCTTTACAGCAAATGGAGGTCTCACTTTTCGCAGCTTGATGACGACGAGCGAGACACATATGAGCCACCAGAGCCCTACGAGCTCCCAGAAAAAACTGATAAGGCGCCGTTCATGATCCAAGTTGGGTATCAATTGAGGAGGTTGCTTATAGTAGCCGGACGAAACTGGCTGACCAAGACCATTGACACATTTATCATTGTAGGAGCAGCTGTCTTGGTGTCTCTCATGGATGGAGTAGAGCAGCCAACCATGTGGGTGGGGATGAGCAACTTGAAGTATGATTTCACTGCTGAACCAACATCAGTTGAAGAAGTTGTGTCTGAGTTTCCCAAATTCTTTCAGTATGCCATCTGGGCGAACTTGAACAATTTGCATGCGTAAGAACCACAAAGCCACTCTTCTTTCTTGCGCATTCAGTCTTTTTCGAATGTCATACTCACTGTCATCCTTGACAACACCATATGCCCCCACAGATATGGCACAAAGCTTGGCGTGCTCATTGCCGTTCTGGTTGCTTTGACCGCAACGAAGACAATCACCTCGAAACGGAAAGAGTTTTTCCGTGAAGCAGCTAGTGGATACAGCACCAATGCCTACTTCATTGCGGTCAACGTGATTGCCACATTGGAGCATTCCATCCAGATTGCCATTGCGGCACTCTGTTCGATTTGGCTTCGAAACTCCCTGTCCCACTGGTATTCCTGGATGGTCGCGTTCCTCCTGTGCGGTTGGATCTCTGTATCGTGGGCGTTCCTGTTTCCACTTATTGTTCCTCCCGACAACGTTGTGCTGGTGACAGGATTCTACATGGTTCTTTTCGGCCTGCTCTTCTCCGGAGCTCTTGCTCCTGTCTTGTACTCCAGTAAGTCTTGGATATTTGCCTGCTTTTGCAAATGGTTTGGATTGTTATCTGTCTAACCCGAGACTCCGCCGATCCTCCTCCTTAGCGATCTATGCCGACACTTTCATGTCCATCTTCAGCGGCTTGCTTTCACCAACAAGGTATTTTATCGAAGCTCTTTCTGTTTCGGAGTCTCGCGTCTTGCCGGTTCAATCTGGTTTCACCGAGTTTGGTATCAACGTGGGCGGAGGAATGTTCGAGGCCATGTCCTTTAAAATCACGGGCCTTGGATTGAATGACTTTTACAATGTCACGCAACGTTCTACTGACGGATGGTACTGGGGTGCTCTCCCTGCCTTTTTGGTTGGACTGTTGATCCGATGGGCTTCATTAGGATTTATTCATGTGTCAGATCGCGCAAAGCAGGCCAAGAAGCCCATGCTTCACACTGTAGCCAAGAAGGGAGCTCTCGCATGGATTGCTCTTTTCCTCTACTCAGCCATCTTGATTGGGTTGCTGTTTGCCACGGTTTGGACCATCTTGCGGGAGAAATCAGCCTACCCAGACCAAGAATTTTAGATACATAACTTTTTATTGAAAGATGCATGTATGGTGTTTCGGAGCCGGAAACCAGGCTTCACGTTGAAACTTCAGAAATGGAAGGAGGAGAAAGGTTCATCATGAGCATCTCCTGCACAGATCTCTCGCACCGCGTAGATTGCAGCGTTGACAGATCCATGTTCTTGTCTGTTTGACTTGACTCGGGCTGTGGGTTTCACGTGCATTTTGCCAATGCTTCATCTAGCTACCGGTACCGCACCAATACGCCGGCCAACTTGCGTTGTGCAGAGCCAGGATTGACCTCCCTCCACCTCCAACAAAAGATACTACCGGTTGTACGATACGATAGCTTATAAGAAGGGTTGGGAATGCCAGATCGGTTTCTGCTAGTAGTACTGCAGCGAACAGTGAATAGAAGTGAAACCCAGTGTGGCCGGGCAATGGCTGCCAAGATAGATCAAGACAGCAGCGCTTTGATCACAACCTACAAAGAGATTTGGACCTACAGAAGCTAGTAGAACTTCGAGCCATGTGGGAATAGATTTGATCAAAAGAAAGAGATCTGAAAGAGGAAATCAAGCAAGCCACCAATCAAAGTAAAAGACTACCGTGAGCATTATGCATGCATATGCTTTGCTTTTTACAATAGAGAAGCAAAATAGTCCGTTGCTTGTCCCTTTAGTGTTTGGTTGACCGTCAGTATATGAGTTGTACTTAGCCAGAGAATGCCATTTTCGTGTAACCAACCTGCAACTTTGCTGCAATCCCCAGACCACTCAGAGCATAAAACATGTGTCTTTTTCCATCTCCTCCATCAAACCATACTTGGCCGTGTGCTTTTTTTTTGTCTAGCTCATGACAACTCTGTAATGAGTGGCCCTTTTGGTCTTTTTTGGCTGGTTGTTGCTTTTGTATTGGTAGATTCTTCTGCTGCCTTGCGCTTGGTGTTGGATGTTTCTAGCCGCTGTAGCAGATTGCGCTTTTCATCTTCATCTTCCTCCTCCTCTTCTTCTTTTTCATCGCTGCTACTGTCCGAGTTGTCCCCCAGTAGCTTCATGGCAGGAGAGTTCTTGTCGAATTGACCAATGGAGAACTCGAGTTGTATAGAAGGCGTGGTTTCTTCTTTTTGTATAGCTTTGGATGATTTGCCGGGTTGATGTTCCCGAATCAGAAACTCGTCCTCCTTTGCTTCACTTTTGTCGCATTCGGATTCTTTGTCGTCGTCATCATCATCATCATCATTGGCCTGCTCCAGATTCAAGTCGACTCGAATGCCAGCATCATCATTGTCATCATCACCATTGGCAGTGGCATCAAGCAATTCTTGGTTGGCAGCTTGAATCTGCGGAAGAAAGGCTCCCACTCGATCCAACAGATTGTTCTTCTTCATCAAGGGAAAATTCATCAGGCCAGGCGGTCTCTTCTTCAGTTTACTGTCACTCTCTTGGTTACATGTACTTGACCCGCTCATCTTGGTCTTTGCTTTTTGTCTTTTTCGCTGAAATGTGATTTCGAAGAGGAAAGGTTTGAGTGGCGCCAGAGATATCCACAAGTACAGGTACGTAACCTTGGCCTTAAAACTAGGATCGTTCCAGCAAACTCTTAAGGCTGAGGCTAAATCCAATCTTCGTCATCTTGTGTCCAAACGTCCGAGCTCATGATGTCCCCGGGCAACAATAGAAACAATTAATAAAATTTGGATGCAGGCTGTTGTTGGTTTGAAGGCCCCCTCTATGGCTGAACACTCCTTGTTCAACTACTGGCTAGCTAGCTAGAGGGAAGCGAAGTGCACGGTACGGATTGAAGGTAGCTACAGAAGGGACTTACTAGCTAGCTAAGCACCCCATCGTTCTTTCAACCCGTTCACTTTGCTTCGCTTCCTTGCATCCAGAGTTAGGTCATCCTACAGCTAGCTAGTTACGAAGTACTGGTACCGGTAGAGCCAAGCTCTTCAAACGATCTAGAACCCTTTTCCACAGCCGATGACTTGAAGCTGGCGCTGGTTGGCATCACCCATCTCGTTGAGCGATGAACCACGATAAGATCCGGGAGTGGCTTCCATTGATGGCCGCGGGAATGGTCAATCACACGGCACGAACCAAAGCGGAACGGAAACGCCCTCTCCGAGATCCACTCGAAGGCCACAAATCCAACAACTCAAAAGACAACAACAACCAAAACAACAACAACAACCTGTGTTCGAACCACTCCCCACCAAAGCATCAACAACATAAACCATGTTCAGCAACAATAAAGGATTCGATGCCACCAAACTCAAAGCAGCACTCAAGCTGGCTAGCAGCCGCTTTGATGTGGCCAAAAACAAAAAGTCGGCGCTCATGAAACAAAACATGAGAGAAATTGCCATGTTACTGGCCGAAGAGCCTCCTAAAGAAGAAAAGGCAAGGATTCGAACGGAACGATTGATCAAAGATGACTACTTGATTGAAGCATATGAGATTCTTCAACTGGAATGCCAATTGCTGACCGAGAGAGTGCAGCTATTGAAGCACTCCAACAAGAATGAGTGCCCTGCCGATCTTGTGCCATGTGTGTCCGACTTGATCTATGCGGCTCCTCGGGTAGAGATTCCAGAGCTTCAAGAAATCAGAAAGCAGCTCATTTCCAAGTTTGGCAAGACACTTGCCATGGATGCGGACAACAATAAGGATGGTGTGATCAGTCCCAGGATTGTGGAAAAGCTGTCTCTGGCTCCCCCCACGGCGTACATGGTGCAAAACTACATGACAAAAATTGCCAAGCTGCATGAAGTCTCCTATGAGCCCACAGTACAGTTGACATTGGAAGAGGCATTTGAGCCAGTAGCTGCCCCTGTTGGATATTCCGTTCCAGTGGCCACCGGCACGGGGCTAGGTGCGGCTGTTCAACAAGAGACAGCAAGCCAAGAAGCCAAAATGCCACCCACAAACCCTTACTTCAAGAAGGACTCAGTGACAGTGGTAGAAGCATTCCCGTGTGCTCCAGGAAGTGAAGAGCATCATGACCAGTCCCATCCCAATGTGAGCCCATCTGCTCCTGTAATCTCAGCAGCTCCTTTTGAAGTGGAAGTGGAGGCAGAGGAGACGGACACAGTCCAGCCCAAACCAATAGTCCCAACGAAGGAATTCCCATCAGAGACAGAGAAAATCATGGATGTAGAGGAGAAAGTTGATAGCAGGGATGCTCAGGAGGAATCTTTGACCGATGAGAGTCTTTCTCTTCCAAGGCGGCTGATAGTTGAACCAGCCTCAGCGGACGAGAACACAACCAACAAGATGGATCTCTATAATGTAATGACTGGAATGAGTGTCCCTGTCATCAAACCAGAACAAGCTTCTCCCGAGGAAGAACCAGAAATCATCGTCAATCCTGAAGAAGAGTTGATTGAAGACAAAGACATGAATGAAAGCCATGATGTCATGGATGCCAAGGATGAGACCAAGGTTGAGGTAGCCCAAATCATGCCACGCGAGCTGAAGAATCCAATTTCAGAGGAATCTGAACTAGAGCTTCTAAGGAATCGGTTCCAAGCACTGGCTGCACCACGGGAGGATACCAAGAACCTTGATGATGCCAAAGCCACCAAAAATATGGACAACGCAAAAAAGCATGTGGTTGAGCTGGACAAAAGCGAGAACCCTGACTCCAGATCTGCTTTGATTGTGAGTCGCAATGACCTTGAGCAGGTGCCCGATCATGAGGAGGAACCCCTTTTGGCTGCTTACTATGAAGAGCCGAAGACCGAAGATTCGGTGGATAAAACATCAATGCTACAGTTGGACAAGGTAGAAGGTCAGTTGAGCACGACAGAAGAAAAGTATGACATTGCAGAAGAACGTTCGAAAAATACAGACGAGCAGCAGTTGGACAAGACCGAAGAGCAGATAGACCATCAAAAGAAGAACTTGATTGACGATTCTAAGAGCCAGAGCAATCAAGGAGAGGAGAACTTGAAAACAAAGCCATCAAGTAACACTGGAGCTGCAGAAGACCACATTACAGGAGCTGCCTTTGCCGGGGGAGCTGTTGGGGCTGCAGTGGCCGGGCCTTTAGGTGGGATCCTTGGTGCTGCAGGTGTAGCACACTTGGCGGCCAACAAGAAAGGAAAGGCCGCTGATATTGCCAGGAAATGTGGCAAGAAAGTTTCAAAGATGACCAACAAATTGGTCCAGAAGCTGGATCTTGCCTAGTGCCTAGTAGAGCCGCAAGCTAGCTACACAGTTGTTGAGCCTAGCTCCGTGCGTGGTGGAGCAAAATAAAGAACTAACTAAGGCTACTATGCGGCGGCTTCTATAGATTACTTCCCCACTCCAGTAGAGTCGAGCTTGCCAGCTGGCTAAATACTCTACTAGACCCCATATTGGGATGAAGCACTACTATCGTTAGCGGAAGATTTGATTGGTTCTCAATTGAACTTCTGTTGCCTTTGTAGCACGAGAGGAGATAGATTAACCTGGTAAGCCACCTCGTAAGGCTGTGGTGCAATGCAGTACAGTGTAACGGGGGCACGGTATGGTACCGGTATGAGCGCGACTGCGCCAGATTAGATTGATGCTGTCTCCTTACAGCAAGCGAAGATTTTTAGAACCTGGCAAAAAGCACCTTGTGAGGCTGCGGTACTGTACCATAACTGGTAGGGGCACGGTGTATGTGACGGGGGTGAGGGGTTGTTGCCGCAGATATTTGTTCCCCTTCAGCAAAGGCGGGAGTTGATAGATTTAACAGTAACCTGGTAAAGCACCTTGCAAGGTTTATGCACTAAGTCTATTAGTGTTACCAGAGCTTTCTCTCGACGGAAATAGTCTAAGTATCTTTTGAGGATCGTTTACCTCTCGTGCACGCTTCCAAGCTGCCAGATGATGCCACGCGACGGCGCCCTTTTTTGAAATCCTCACGGCTGTTCTCACAACTTCTCACTCTTTCAAGTCAAGCTGAGATTGAAGTGAACTTGAACCATGGTGTTTTTGAAAATGAAATCATTGGTGCTTTTGGCGGCAATTGCTGGAATTTCCAGTGCCGTTGACGTCTCCACCGACAAGTTGAATGTAAGCTCACAAACTAACCTTCGCTCAAGTCCATTGCGACGCATCGGATCTGGGCCTGTAATGTCTCATGCCTCCTTTCATTGATGCTCTCGCTCCCTCTCATGCATATGATTGATGTCGGCAGTTGCGCGGAGGGCTGCCGGATCGAAAGTTGGACGCGAAATTCTCGCAAGCGTACGGGAACCCCACGCCAAAACCACCCGGAGCAGAGGATTTTGGTGGTAAAGGATTCCAACTGCATGCAACGGTGGGCGGTAAGCCAGAATCGGTTACGTGCGATCGTAATTGGGGTCCAGTCACAGGGAAGATCGAAGCCGGGGTCAAGTGCTCAGTCTCTGGAAACCCCACTTGCGAGCAATTGCAGAAGGCGACATTCCTTACAGAAGAAGGAGGCGATGGAGAAGACCTGCCCAAAGACAAGCAGACTCCATGTTTCAATAACGTTATCAAAGGCCCCAAAGGTTTCAAGATCGACAAAAGCCCACACAATGGTGACGCGAATCCTTTCGCCTATTCTTTCAAAAACAAATCAAGCCAGAATGGGGTGCAATGTGAACTCACTGGCGATGGCAACAAGGACACCCCAACACTTGGGGTCATTGTTAACGGGTTATCCTCAACAAGCATCGAGTGGAGGAACGTAGTCACGCTCTTTGGTGATGGGGCTCCTGAACCAAACAAAACGCCGAAGATTTATGCTGTAATCATTAAGGGAGGGCAAAAGGCTTTGGTTCACTTTGGAGGCGAATGGGCCGGCAAGACGATCAATTCACCCAAGGACGGGAATTACGCATACCACGATATCAGCCACGTCGAGATTTGCTACGATGGGGAATCAGGTAAAACTACAGGTGAGACCCCAGGGCCTGCTCTTGCTGACATGTTCGCAAGTACAGAGCTGAACTAACACCTGATACCGTCTTTCAGGAGACCCTCACTTCAAAAGGTGGGATGGGAGCCATTACGAGTTTCATGGTGCGTTTGTTGACGGTTCGATCAACAAATTGTCGCCCACGATTTTCCCGTTCGCTGCTCCACTGACACTCAACCTTTGTCACCAATTACTTTCATGCACGCAGGTGGCTGCGATCTCTTGTTGCTGAACAATCCCGGTAAGCAGCAGGTATTCATGTGTGACAAACGAAACTGCATTCCTTGGTTGTCTTGTGCTGAGAGTTTCTATTCCTGCTTCAATTGACCACAGACTTCAACAATGGTCAGGGGATGCACATCTACGCACGTACCAAGATTGTGAGGTGGTGAGTATGGTATCTGTTGTCAAAGATGGTTGTTTGACGGTTGGATTGTCATTGTTGACATGCCAGTCTCCTCACACTTTCTTGCTTCTGTTCTCGATCAGGTGGTCATACATTGATCAGGTACGTTATCGGGGTGGAAAACAACACCAGTTCATGTGCCGACGCAAGGACAACTAACATGAGTTGTCGCTCGAGAAGGTGGTGGTGAAGATTGGTGATGATGTCTTTGAGGTGCATGGTAAGAACACAAGGGTCCCTGACTGCCTCCAGTTGGAACCGAATGCCATTGCACAAAATGAAAGGCACTTATCCTCTTCTTCATACTCCTTGTTCTCTCTCAGGTGGAGTTGAAGAACCTCTACCGTACTGGATCAATGGCGAGCAGGGAGCTTTCCACAGGAGCAAAGCGTTCCCGTTCACCGTTGGAGGTTTCTCGGGACGTTTCCGACACAGAAAAGACAGCGTGGTTCACTACAAGCTCTTCCTCCCCAATGACCAGGTGCTCCGCATCCAGTCCAACAAGTTCATGCTGGGAGTCGAATTCGAAAACGCGCTCTCTGACGACTTTGGCACCAGCCAAGGTTTGCTCGGAAGGTTTGGAGATGGTGCAATGTTGGGTCGGAATGGCACTGTCTTTGACCTATCGGATACCAATGCTTTTGGCCAAGAATGGCAGGTTTTGGAGACAGAGCCCATGCTCTTTTCGGAACGACAAGGTCCCCAGCACCCTCAGAAGTGTGAAATGCCTGATAAAGATAAACCTTCATCCGCGGCACGCCGTTTGCTTGGCTCCTCCATCAGCCGCAAGAAAGCCGAAGCCGCCTGTGCCAAAGTAGACCCCGATTCGTTCAACGATTGCGTTTCGGATGTGCTCACCCTGGATGACGTTGATCTCGCCGCGGGATACGTGGAGTAAGCAGGCACGTAACGCCCCGAAGCATCATTATGCTCTCTTGAGCAGGTTCTGGGGGAGGGATGGTCGCTCTCGTGAGGAGAAACCTTATCAATGGGTTGGTTTGTACGGTACCGGTACCGGCGTGCTATGCCAACCGATCGGTTCAGCTCGAGTGCAGAATGGTGGAGATAATTAATTAAGTACATGGAATAGTTTTTGTTGAAGAGAAGTACATGAAATAGTATTATGCCAATGATTTCCTGAGTAATTGAAGTGCGCTCCAAGCAGATGGCTTTACGATCACTGTTACCAGGAGGGGTTGATGTGTTTCCGGTGTGTGTGTGTAGGTGTGTGTACGTGAGTGCACTACGCTAAAAGCTAGTGTAAAGATCTTTCGAGTGTTTTGAGTTTGAGAGAATGAAAGTTATGAGAGAGAGGATTAGAAAGCTATGAAAACTAATCAACGAGAGAGATATCATCAAGGGATCGTAGATCTGGCTTCCCGCGGGAAACATAAAGTGTGATAGAGTGGGTTGCGGTAGATAATCCTACGTCTCTCACGATCCTAAACGAACGCGTGGAAGTTTTGTCTAGCACTGGATCTAGTAGAGCGGGAAAGTACCCACGCGTAAATATCTAGAGCGATGTTATTCATCAACCTAGTATGACAAGCGCGGTCATTGAGAGACGCACTGTCTCAAATGAACTATTCCAAGAGAGACTCAGTCATGAGTCGTAACTCAGACT